CCCGTGAGATTCACCGGAAAGACCCGGTTTTTCATGGGACCCGTGGGGCAACCCGGGGGAGAAGCTGACCTGCAACCGGAGCCCTCAGGGCTGTTCAGAAAACCGACCTGTCGACTGTCCTTCTTTGGCCTCAGAAAATGGGCACGACGTCAGGTCATACCTGTTCTTTTGTTTTTTTTATGGTTCTTATTCGGCTTTCCGGATCATGTCCCAATGAGAAATGATGATACGTTTGGAGACTGCAGGTACTAACTGGACTTGGCAGAATTACCTTAAGACTGGCCAATCCTAACCAATCGGAGTATCTTTATATAAGCGTTTGGAAGAATTCCCTAGTCATCCTCTAACATGCTCCAACCAGCTCCCTTTTCAAAATTGCTTGCGGAGGGGGTTGGAGGGTCGTTTGGTCCTTTCTGAGGTATTTGGAGACCTGCATGGATGATTTCTAGTCCCGCCGATCATCTCAAACATATAGATTAATAATTTCATATAAATTCTATAAACAGGGCTGTTCTTAAGGTCCAAAGTACTCTTTCAATACTCCAAGTCCCTCTTACCCCTCCTATACATGTGTGAGTCAATGTAGAGAAGCTACTAGGCCTCAACAACAAAGCGTTCCTCATGACCTCCACTGTCCACGTCACTCCTCTCACGACCGCTCGGCCGTCATTGCAGCTCAGCCGCACGCGGCGCAACAGCGCCGGACGTCGTTGCAAGCTGCGCTTCGCCATTTTGTTGCGGTTGCAGCGACGCCGAGTCGTGTCGCGTCCAGCTACGCCGTCACTTGTGCTTCATGGGAATGATTTTTGGGACGCTTCCCAGTCACTTGTGCTTCATGCGCTTCATCAGTCACTTGGGCCTTCGTTTTGGGACGGATCATGATCCTGCAACCATCCACCAGACATGACAGTGACTCCAAAAGCGGTCATTGGCGTCATTCTCCGCGTTTCGAGCCATGTCTGGCCGCCAGGGTTCCGCCGTTTCGAGCCGAAAAAACGGTTTCAAGAAACGACGCTGGGAGAAGTTGAGGGAACAAATTCAACCTTTCCTGGGAGAGCTGTCAGAAATGGGAAAAAACAACACACCATGCATTTGTTTTATAGTTTATGATAGAGGATTTTAGAATAAAAGCAGGTTCAGCGAACTCTTTGAATGGTCGAAGGCTAGGGATCCAACCAGCACCCAGGCTGGGGTTTTGGATGGAATTGGAAAGGCATTTCCTTTGGCGAACTGGTCATCCCAAAACCTGGTCGAACTGGACTTCTTCTTTCTATACTTTGGATATCTTTGGATCATCCACTTTGGGAATGGGTGAATGTTCAATCTTAGCATGACTTGGATCCACTGAGGTTTTGGATATCATGGGATCGCCCAAAGCTTTTTTTCACCAACGTGGACTGCTGGCTCCCTGTTGGACAAGGAGACGACTCTTGTTGTCTTCAAGGAAGGGGCCATGGCTGGGGCCATGCCATCCACGTTGGCCCATGATTCTCTCCCTCGCAGCTCGTCCCAGGATGACCTCCCGGTCCAACTCGGCTGGGGACCATTCAGGTCCTCTATGGCCCTATCGAAGGGGGATGAAGGGGGAAGACCCTGCTTCAGAGTTTCGGTAAACTTGATCCCGAGATCGAGGACGTCAGGTTTCAGGATCAGTTTTCAACGTCTTCAAGGCTTTCTAATGTTGGATCCTGATTAGTAAAGGGGGGTCCCCCCCCCCCTCAAACAAATAGGGGTCCCTCTATAATAAACTATCACCAAACAAATCTGGATTCCTGGTGAGGGATCTTTTGTAATTGATTGTAGTATTCATTATCCAATTTGTTTAGGAGCAATGTTTTATAAAGGGTTTAATTGGGGAACTGGTGTTTTGGTCAGCTGTCAGTTTTGAAGAAGCCTAGAGAAAGCTATATCAGCTAATGAATCATAATCATCACGAATTCAATCCCTGATATATTGGGTTTCCAATATAAAAATTTAGGGCCCAAATTTTTTTTTAGCATTATAGAGGTACCATTTTTCAAACAGGGGGGTCTGAATAATTTTGGAAAAATTTAGCATTATAGAGGTACCCTTTACTAATCGTGATCCAACATTATACCCTATAGTACTATCCCATAGGGTCCAGGTACCTCCGTACTTCGGATGGTCGAACGGAGGTGAGTACGTACTTCCAGAGAATGGTCGTTGGGGGGGTCTTTCAGGACATCCGAGCAACGGATGGTCCTGGACCCTTAGGGTATAGAATCCAGAGTCCCTGCTCTCCAACCAAAAAGCTTTTTGCCTTCGGGTCCGTCTTCCCCCCCGTGCGTTTCGTTTGAGGTTGTGTCCACGGATTCCATTGTCTTTGACACTAATGGGTTTGCTACCATCTTTAGCACCTGACTCTACAGGTCTCCGACATGGAGGCTTTTGCATGTATAGACTCCGAACATCGCAACGTGTGAAGACCTGTGAAGTCGGGTGCTGCTGGAATGCGCACGTTAGACGCGCGTACGCTTTTTTGGGGAGGGCTCCAAAGTGAGCGATCAGCTGTTGTTTCTTCACCAATACAGGAAAACCAATAAAGGTTGAGGAACCCTATTATCTATTATAGAGGCTATCCCATATAGAGTACTCCAGGACTCCAGTATAGGGTATAGTAGGGTCCATTTTCAGGTCACTTAACCTCTTGGAGTCCTTCAGTTTGCTTCAAGCTCCCGGACTGGCTGTGTTTTCTCGGGCGACCGGACTGGCCATCAGCTCGCATCCGGGAGGGTGAGGTGTTCACCAAAGGGTCGGGCCGTTCACCAAAGATGCTTAAAAATGCTTAAAGACAGGCAGTTTGGCCTTTTCATGGAAGTGGATACATGTTAAACTGATGCTCCTTGAACAACAATGACTGTGCCATCAAGGAATCTCCTTTACTTCGGCGCTCCGATGGGCATCGTCGCTACATGGGCATCCCCACCCTAGGCGCCCGATGCTCCGATGGCTCCGCCTCCCCCCCCCGGGTTTCGACGAACTCGTCGACGAAGCGACGAAGCAAAGTTCAGCGGTGAACGAAGCACGGCGTCTCACGACGTCCGAAGCTCGGTCGTTCCTTTGGAAGACCATCACCGCAGAAAAGGTCGAGGGCGATCCCCCCAAGATCCAAGGGGGTTTATATAAAACAGTTGAAACCCATTTAATATGCGTTTTTTTTTCAAGAAACTGCGCCAGTGAGTGGTTTGTCAGCGCTTGCAACAGCGGTACGAGTGATTTGTTTTCCTTTTCTAAAGCACAGTTGATTAGGGTCAGCTTGGAGTTTGCCCAAATTTTTGCATGCTTGGTTCAACATCCTCTCAGGGAAGAACACTTGTAGGAACAAAAGAAACACTTCAAAAGTCTAGATCAGTATCTTAGAAAATGGACCGTCCATTAAACCTCTGTCTGAGCCTGAGCCTTTGAAGGTGGGGACTGTTAGCAACAACCTACCATTCAGAAACAAGTTTAAACAAAAAGAAACCATGATGAAAAAACAACGTATGAATGTCGGAGTAGTAAAAACAAATCGCCAAATTATTCGCAGACCCTGAAAAGTTTAATGGGAGGGAATAAGAAACAGTTCTTTCACCCAGGGTTCTTTTAAACAATTATTGAATTCTATTATTCTGCTATTGGTGCCCTTAAAAACTCATTGCTTAACTAGAACGACTACCTACCACTGCTGCAGCTGCTGCTGCTACTACTACTTCTTTTGGGTGTGGGATTCTATTCAGACTCCCTCGATTGTTTGCTAGGAGGCGGGGGTGTTCTTTTTACTATTTAAGACCCGACATTAACTAACAAGCTATAATAAAAATTATTTATACGCGGTCTTTCCTGAGATTCTTTCATAGTTTACGTTTACCCCCCAAAACCATGTTCACAATTATGTTCCTATAACCATGGTCCTTGGACCCCCCCTGGGCTAACCACTCCGACCGTCTGCTCCCTCCGGCGTGACGACTCGCGCCGCGGCGACGAGACGATCGAGCCGCTCTGTCAGACGTCCATGGTGCTGGACTCGCGAGGTACCACGTCGAGCTCCTTCGCAGTTGGAGCGGTCGATGGAAAATGGGAAGGCCCAGATCGACCAGGATGACGGATGGACCAGCAGAATTAGGTCCCCCTCATGCATTTGCCTAAGTACCGCAGACCCCGGCCCCAGTGGGACCTGTTTATATTTCACCACCTCTCAGGCGATGGTTGTTAGAACTGCTGGACAGCAACAGCAAGCACCAGATCGCAGTGGGCACTACCAGGGTTTGACCCTCCTCCTCCCAGGCTGCAAGCAGTTTCGCAGCCTGCGCCGCCAAGAAACCTCCCTGTGCACCTCTCTGGCTGACTGGTCTTCTCCTTGACTGCTCAACAGCCTCTCAACAGCCTGCTCCTCCTATAACCTGGAGAGAAAGCGCGGGTCGACGTCGACCCGAGCTCTTACACAGCGCAGATCTCACGTCACAAGGCTCTCACCGGTCTTTCTTTGTTCGGGTGGTTTTACAACCCGATCCGAATCGCTTTGGAACCCGAAACCAACAAAGGTGGGTCAGAAGCCGATGTCGTTCGACTATCCCAGTTCGGTACCCCAGGTGATAGGTCCTAGTTCCGGTCACTGGATACCTCTCTGGGAAATCCGAGGGGTTTAGGTTCACCATATCGCCCATGTCTGGGGGGGGGGGCTTTGGTCCGATCCGGGCGATCCTTTTCCGATCTTGGCGGGCTCACTCATTTGGAGGATGGGTCTATTATATATAGGTTCTTGACTTAGATCTACTCAGATCATATATCTAATTAACTTACATCAAAATGGTTTCATTCTTAATTCTCAGACCTCGATTGGTTCTTTTTGTTTGAACTTCATTCTCAGATTTTCAGACCTCCTATGATCTCATTTGTATTTTTGGTCGCGGAGACAACCAGAAGATCTAAATCTGAGAATCTTCTTTCAATCAGATCTCACGACTTGGTCTCTAAAATCCTCTGCTCAGATCCCATTAGAGTCATTGCTTGAACAAAATCGTCATGATCTCGCCAGGCTGACAACCGCCGATCTCCTTCATCTCCTCCTCCATGGCGTCCTCCAACTCGCTCATCGGACGCCGGGAGCTCGACTTCACCGACGACGACCTGCCGTTCTTCCCCCCCACGGTGAAGCGGTCCACGGTGGACTGGGTGTTCACCCAGGCGGGAGAAGTGGTGAAAAGGGCCCTTGGCTTTAGAGGGCATGCCATGAGGCGTTGGAATGCTTGGATGCTTGGCCACCAATCGGGAAAAACAAGAAACACATGGACACGGGGGGGCACCAACTTTGGATCCAGTTCGGAAACAAGAAAGAATGGAATCTTCCTGGCACCATGTCTCCCGAAATTGGAAGATGTGGGTTTTGTTCTGTTTTCAATGGTTGGAAGACCAGTTCGCCAACAAATCGAGGACCTGTCACCATGCCCAGGTTGGGAACAAGAACCGCTACCAGCTGCTTCCGTTCGGGGTCTGGCTGGATATCTCCACAACAGGGCACCCCGACGCGAGCCGCGCGAGCGTTCGATTCGACCTGAGGAGTTCATACCGCCCGGCGCCAGACTGACTTCAAGCGATGTCCAGTAGTCCGGTGGTCCCGTTTTCGGATCGGATCTGTTTGAGTGCCATAGCCCCTAGGGGGTCCAGTCGTACCTCTAAGAAGGTGAGACTGGGGTGGGTGCCAGGAGGGTCCTACAAGATCTGCCAAACAAAGCAGCTAGCTATAGCCAGACACGACCCATGTCTGTCATATGCCGCCCCAGAAAGACCCCCCTGGCACCACGCCTGGCCGTTTCTCGGCAGTCCTATGGCAGACATGGAGCGTCTGGCTATAGCTCGATCTCCAACCAAAACGGAAAGCAACCCTGCCCTGAAACGGGAAGAACCAAACACCGTCCCTCCAGTTGCGCGTGTTCATCGCCACGCCGCACGAAACAACGCCCCGGCCTCTCCACGACATCGTCCCAGTTCCCAAAGCGCTGACAAATCTGGTCGACTTGCCTTTCAAACCCCGGCGATGCCGAGTGTGAACGTGTGTGAACCGGTGGATCACCCCAAATGAACAAGAATGAATGCGGATCCAAGTACCTTCTCAGCAAGTATCTTGTCAGAAGGTAATTGGCACCTACATAACAGTGCCTCCAATCACCGTACCTGAGAAGGTACGACTGGATCCCTAGGGGAATTTGGGGACTTGGGGCACGTCAACTTGAAGCAGGTTCTTGAATGGTGTTTACATGGACTTGGGGACTGACTTGCATCAGTCAACTTGAAACAGTTTGTTGAATGTGTTCTTTTTTCAATACCGTTTAAAGGTCTTGATCCACAACAATCGACCGTAAACAATATATATGTTGATATATGTTGCATATTGTTGCATCTTCAACCAGCTTAAGGGTCTAGAGTCTAGAGACCAAGAATATTCAACTGCCTTACCATGACAACAGGATCTCACCAAACAAGAAGCACCAAACATATCTGGCGTTGGATGATCTAAACGATGCTCCCGGACCTTGCAGCTTGTACTCTCGAAAATGAGACATGATCCTATATGAAGCCGGTACACTGCACAGATTCTGCACGTGTCATGACCTTCTTCTATAAGTGCTGCTTTGCCAAACCAGCAGCGCCTTTCCAGGATGCCAATGGAGGCATGTGGCGTCATGGGCAACGCCAAAATGCTCAGCAGCGCCTCCAAAAACACTCATTCACGTCCGCTTCCGGCTATCCTATTACCAGTAACAGTGGATTATGATGGTTCAGTAAAGTTTAGTAAAGGCCTTTCAAAAGAAGAAAACGTGATCATTGTTTACTGTTATTGACTGTTACAGGTATTAAGACAGACCCCAAACATGACTCAATCACAACAACATATGCGGTCGTCGAAGCGTAGACTTCACACGGTGGACGGCGGACGCTGCTGAGCCATGCGAAGCCGAATCTGGCGGTGACCGGTGGGAATGCTAAGCCAGTGGGTGGCGTTCTTTGACCGATGGCGGCAACCACTCGGAGGAAGACCAGCGGAAAAACGCCCACTCTCGGAATGGCACATCGAGAGTGACTTAAGGTTGGCCCTCATGGGAGAGAGACAGCCTGTCTCCGGAGTCTTTGGTTTTGGATGTGGCAGCCAAGAAAAGCTGAGAGAGTAGTTGGACCCTCCAAACCCACCCCAAACACCTGTTCAGAAGGTACTTGGAGGCCTAGGGAGTGTGGCATAGTGTGGCAAGGGAGCATTGATATACCTCTCAAACGGATATCTTGGCTCAACTGAAAATCAAAGTCTGCAATGAAACTATTGTGATCAAACCCTTCTTCCAAAATCACCGTCATTGCAATGTTCTGCTGGTATCTGGATCTTTTCGACTCCAGCCCTCTTGACAACCAGTGATTTTTAGATCGCACCGCCAAAACCACAAAACAATACAACCATACGAGCAGGCTACTTCCTTCAACATCATCTTTCAACCTTGCACCTGCATGGCTTTGCAATGCACTTGCTGCCTCTAACTTGTTCTCCCATCCGAACTCTTCATCCATCTGCATACTCCACCCCAAGAAACACAATCCCTAGGAATCCACTGCCACCCTCTGAGAAGGTGTTTGGAGATACTGCTATAGGTGCCGGTGCCAGTGTCGGGTTCAGTCGTACCGTTCGAGACTCGTTTCCCTTGCCACCACTACATCCCGTCATGGCATCCTCAGCCTCCCGTCCTCCCGTCCTGGCCGAAACGCCGAAACGGTCCAATCGGCCTGAAAGGCGCGCGCAAGGGGTGGCCCCTGATTGGGAGCAAGGCCTGGTATCACCAGGTTCCCCTCCTGCACCTGCGACCGACGCGGCGGTCCGCAGAGCTCTGCGGTGATTTCGGTCAGCACTTCGGTCTCAGCGAAAGGGCTGGCCTACCTGTCGGTGAAGGTGGTTAGGGATGGTTAAGCTGCCGGGAAATTCGAAGACGGGAGACATTATGGGCCAGGAGCGCAAACGCCCCGGCCCAAACCCCTTTCAGCCCTTCCGCCCTTCCAGCGGGTCTATGTTTCCGCCGAACAACCTCACGGCGTTGACCCGCGGCGTCCGCCACAGGACACCGCCCACCGCGCCGGCGTCCGCGCGTGACCGGCACGGCCTGCTGGTAGAATTCGAGCCCCGGAAAGTCGAAGCTGCCATCGTTCACGGGGACCAGCGCCACCGAGGCCCTTCCTGAAGCAGCTCGGGAGCTGGAACACAGACCTGGAGGTAGAGTTGATTTTGCGAAAGAGCGCAGGAAAGGGTGTCAGTCCATGAATTCGCCCTGAAAACAGGTCAAGGGGTGCCCCTTCACCACCCCGACTGGGGGGTCCAGGAGTACTGCAATTTGCTTCAGAACTGCAGGTACTTGCACTAGTACTTTGTATTTAATCCTTTTTGATTACTTAAAGGGTCTTGGCAGCTTTTATTGGTTCGTTGTTGCAGTAGATATCCTGCAAGCAAGCTCAAGTTGGTATCATCTTGATTGGCTATATATGATTCTGGTCCCTACGAGTATAGACATCACCGGACTAGAAACCCAGAGAGGAACAGAGAAGGGTTGCCCTTGTTGGAAGTCGATGCAACCCATCCAATCTACGCACCTTAAATGTTGGACTCCAATTCTCAACAAGTCGAATGGCTCCAAACTTGGCAGCTCTGATTTCTGTACCGAGAAAGATCATGTTTAAAACACATGTGTCAGCGTCTTCATTCAGTATGTGACCTTCAAGGAGTAAGGAAAAAATCACAGAGAATCCTTATAGGAGAGCCGTGAGTGGATGAACATCTCAATGGATGTGTCTATCTGAGAGATGGGGCCGCTGGTCGCGAAGACAGCCCTCCTCAAAGTTGAACTGTTTCTGAGAACCCTCTGAAAACAAGAAGCACTGCAAACCCATAGAACCTGATTGACCTCTCTCTTTTGGACCACCCTATAGACCAACCACCCCTAATAAGTTCCTTTCCTCTCAAAGCCGGAGTCATGGGGTTCCAGGAACCCAACGAAACATCAACCACTTGAAACCTTTCTGGAGGTCTCTGTCAAGGGAAAAGGCCGAAAAACCTCTGGCACTGCCAGTCATGATGCTTGGACCGCCGGTGATTGCTCCAGGGTACCGGGTACAAACCACCCTCGAGAGGGGCCCGGGGGGATCGGTGCGAGCGCAGGGGTGACGGTCGATGAGGTGCCGAAAGGTGGTGGGCCAGGAGCCCAAAACGTCCAAAAAGGGATCTGTCATGCACTCCAAAGTTTACTCATGATGTAGGTCAAACTTGTCAAACATGGTCAAACTATTTAAAAAAAATAACAACCAAATGTCAAAAAGAATCGAGTTGATGGTTGCACCTTCGCAAATCCTTCCAAATCCTCTGGACACTGGACGAATCCCACGATCCCACGTTCGGAGACCGAAGACCCGTCTAATCTCTCCCAGGCACGAATGGCCAGTAAGATCTGCGCAAAGCCACAGTCCTCTCCACAGGATGGGTGTGCGAGCGCCACTCGGCCCCATGCTTTTCACGTCGTGTACTGCCAGGCCCCACTGGTTGGCCCACTGGAAGCGTCGGCCGCATTTTCCCCACGGCGTGCCGGTCCGTGTTGCAGAACGAGATCGTCACCATTAGTTCCCCCACAAAAGGAGCCTTCTGAAGCCCAAAACCCGAAGCAAAACCCCCCCAAAAAGAATGCTTCGGGTCCAAGCTTCTGTGAAGAGGTCAGGTTGAACATGATCTGGGTCGGACCGAAACGGAACCGAATCAGCAGCAGCAGGAACCAGACCATCTCAAACCCCAAGAAGCAGCGAATCGTACTCGAATGAAGCTGCGGTCGCGTCGCATTGCTAGACCCGTCCACGGGAGTGCGTACGGCTTCTTCGGTCTCGCCTCGAGGATGCCCTTACTCAAGATCACGAGGGCAAAGGAAGCACTCTCCTGATCGGGGAAGAAGCCAGATCCGACTGATCATGACTGATCCGATGATGCCACCTCTACCAGAGTGGGCGAGGCCCTCGCCTTTTGTTGGGACCTGCACGAACCAAAAAAACACCTCCCTGACCCTGCCTCCCTAGGGATCCAAGTACCTTCTGAGTACTTGGACCCTCAAAAGAGTGTCTCCAATCACCTAACCTGAGAAGGTACGACTGGATCCCTAGGGCCTAGAAATAGCTTCCCCTCAAAATCGACCCCCCAGCCGGTGAAGGTTTGGTTCGGGTCCACCCTCCAGTTCGGAAGGTCCAATGATGGTTAGCCTTTGGGTCTATTACCATGGGCCCAGTGGATGATGATGGTTAGGCAGGCCGACAGTTCCAACATGATGATAGCTTAAGCTGCAGCTACGGGTCCTGCTACAGGTCAGTTCGGACGTTCACCTACGAGTCATGGCCTCGCTGATAGCGCTGATTCGGGAGACTCCCCAAAACCACCAGACTCCCAAAGGGTTTCGGGTTCCGGGATCTCCAGTCGTACCTTCCTTCACCTCAGGTTCGGTATCCTCCGCACGACCCGATGTTTTGGCACCGTCTCATGTCTCAGTGCCTCCTTCCTCACCGTACCTGAGGTTCGGTCCGACTGGATCCCTTAGAACTCTATAGGTCCGATCCACCTAGATCCACCTGGATCCACCCTCCGCCATCGAGTCGCCTCGAGTCGAACGGGACCCCCATGGGACCCCCGGACCCTTCACTCACACCGAGGATCAAAGACATCTTCCGGGGTGCGTGCCAAAAAGGTCACGGTCCTCGGGGCCAAGACCCGACTTTGTTCCACCAACTCGCGCAACTCGGCGTCGCGAGCGCCCATGGGAGAGGGCTATCGTTGTTGCCCTCGTAATTGGGCTTTTTGGGCTCGGTAGTTCATTCAACGATAGACCTCGTAATTGTTGCTCGGTCTGTAGGAAAAACATGTTCGGAACGCAAAACAAAAAAGAACGCACTGTGGCTCACCAAAAAAAACGCCCGCAGCTTGTGTATATAATCGCCCATGGAATATCATTAAAACATACCTAGAAGATCCTTTGGGCAGAAATTCTTGCCTTTTTCGGGAAGAGCGGCTCTTCCCGTCCTGGGGCGGAAATCAGCTGTTTGCCGCGGAAATGTTTTTGTTGCCGCGAATATTCCCTTTCAGGAATCCAGTGAGACAAAGACTACATATTCTAGAGGAGTTGAATATTTTTGTGGTTTACATTGGGCATTTCTGCCTGGAACGGTCACCGCAATGAGAAAAAAACATTTGCAGCGCTTAAGTTTCCACCTCCACCTGCAAATCTGGCTACCACCATATCATATATTATGTGTCTTTGTTTTTGAAGGTTTCTTGTGCGGAATGATCACAAAAGGGCTAAAATCAGTCCAAAGTTGAAAACACCTGGCGCGAAAATGCCCGGGAAAAAGGCAGAAATACCCGGGAAAGAGGCGGAAATACCCGGGAAAACGGCGGAAATACACGGGAAACCGGCGGAAATTTCCTGGTAGAAGGCGGGATTCAAGAACAGTGCCTTTGATGCCTTTGAAGGGGAATGTCATGAATTTAGAAGTGTCAAAAGCGTAGGGTGTCAGATCTTGAGATGTGAAGCTATGCAGAACGATATGTGGTCTGCAATCATGGAAGAGACAACCTGGTAGGTTGTAATGGTTTTTGAGTTGCTATGTTGGATTTTGCTTGAGGCAAAAATTCCCTGCTGCCCGCGGAAATTCCTACCTGGCGCGGATTTCCCCTAAATCCGCGAATCCTCCCGGGCAAATCGGACTGAGGCAGAAATTTCTGCCCCAGGTGCTTCTAGGTATATAGAAAACTATAGAGAAGCATCGACTCCAAAAGATGTTGTTCATGCGGCAGATCAACAAAAAACACTCTGAGGAAGTTCCAGGAATGGACGTGTCCAGTTGCTAAATCGAGTGAATCGACAGGTTCAACCTGATGTCGAGGCAAGCATGATTGTGGACCGCGGAAGGACTCTTGGATTTGCTAGAAGAACACCAGTATATGGTAATTACCCTCCATTCAATAGGATCCGATAGGATCCAATAGACATATACCTGGACTCTCCAAAGTACCTTAGAAAATGGGACATGACCCGAACAAGCAACATTGATATATACTATATAGATCTGTCCATATTGATATAGATCTGTCCCCATGTTCCGAGGTACCAACCAAAAACCGGCGCTCGAACACACGGCCGCTGACGAGCTCGCTCGCTCACGCCGGCCGCCGGCCGTGGGTATCGCCGTTCGGCCCCGCCGTCGACGCTCCACGCTCCCAGGGGCTGTAGTTTGGTTTGAACCTCGGCACGGAGGGCGCATTCGACGAACTCGTCGTCGTCGGGGCAGACAAAGGAAACACCCATGGACTCGGAGAAAACGTACGTGGTCGGTCGAGATATGGTGGTTGTCCAATATTCTTGTTTATTGAAACGGCCATTCTTCGCGAAAAAAGAACATTAACATTCGCGAAACTTTCGCGAACCCTGTGTTTTTCTTTCGCGGGGGTTCACCATGTCATGAAACCATTTAACCTGGTAGGGACTCGATTTCTAAATACAAGTGCACGGAGTGTTTTTGGTTCAGCAGGAGGATGCTACAGACAGGAAAGTGGTGTTGGAGCAGAATTTCGTTGGCACATGTTGTTAGAGAAAGCATTTGCACAAGGACGTTGGATGATGAAGTTTGTGGGGTTGCTATGGGCTACGGGGTTCCTCTGGAGCCGATTCATTCGCCGAAACCTTCGCCAGACTTTCGCGAAACTTTGGCGAAATAATCCCTGTGCTTTGGAGGTTTTTTACGGCATACATAACATAGGGTGGACTACATGAAACAGGAAGGAAGCTTCACACGGATTCCAAAGTTGAAGCTGCTGAAAAAAACATACTTTCGCGAATCTTTCGCGAAAAAAAAAACATTAACATTCGCGAACTCGAACAAATACTTTCGCGAGACCCACGATCATGTCATCCAAGGCTCTCGACATTAAAAACCCTTACAAGGACCTTTTGGATAACTCCCATATACGGTCAGTGAATCTCGACCGCCTTGAGAAGGGGTGGTTCATGGACACCCCTTAAAACCTGTAAGGAGCTATTAAAATATAGACACCCCTTGTAGAAGGGGCCTAGTATCTGAGTTTCAGCCAGCTTCTCCGAACTGATCTTGGAGTCCCTCAAGTGACCTCTTGCTGTCCCTCAAGTGACCTTAAATTGTTGAAAACAAAACAACAGGAATTTGCTCGGTCTATCCGGGCTGAAGCCACAGGCTTAGAGGTGTCCCCACCTTGTGACCTTGTGGCCACTCAGTGCTCCTACTGCTGCATACCCAGCACCACCCAGTTCGGGTGGTTATGAAGGAACCCCCCCCGATGAAGATGTATATGTTCCATCCAACAGCAGTGACTTATTCCCACCAGAAATGGTTATTCCGCTTAGCAGTGTTGTTTTTTCCGTCCAATAGCAGTGGTTCTTCCCACCAGATCTTGGGTGCTGCTGGTAGCTGGACTTCGTTGGTTCCCTGCTGGGGTGCAGGACAAATCGTCCCGACGTCCATCACCGTCCGTCACCGTCTGCGACCTCGACATGCGACCGTCTGCGGGTGGCTGAAGCGACCTCCCACGACCTCCGACCTCCGGAGCGGGATGTTAGTTGTAGATCCAGTGCCAGGTGGGTCGAACCAGGATATGGCTTAGGAGCCCCAAGTTTAGGGCTCCTAAAACTGAAGAAGACCTTATAAGTATATGGTCTGAACTATACTACGTATACTATAGGCCTCCAATCTGGATCATGAAGCCTGAAGCACACAGAAATGGGGGAATCTGTGCCCGATCAAGACCGACCATATGCTCACCATCTTGCACCTATGGTGACAGACTTCCAAGGAGCCATCTGCTGCAGGATGAACCCAGCAGAGATCGCCTCTGCTTCTTCCGTCACACAGACCAAGACCTGCATCAGTGTCATGTGACATGTACAACAGTGTGCCATCTCCGAGACACCACCAAGACATTGAGGGGGGTTCCACTTCCCTAGGGATCCAGTCGTACCTTGTCAGGTGATTGGAGATACTGAGAGATGTAGGTGCCAGGAGGGTTCAAGTACCTCTGAGAAGGGATCCAAACACAGCTTTTGGTTGGCCAGCATTGATGAAGTCATGCTTGGTGATCATGATTCTTGGCAACTTGAGAGCCCTAGTATGATTCCCAGATCAACAGATTGGAATATATGCCAAAACACCTCTGTAGAGAACTGGCTCCAAAATACCATCTGCATGTCACATCATCTGCGTGCTCCTGACCCAAACCAAGCTTCAGCCAAGCTAATTTATCTGCATACTCCTGACCCTTCTCCTCCTGACCCAAGCTATCTCCTACATCCCAGCTGTCTCTCCCCAGCAACAGGCCCGATTGAAGGACCCCACTGGGCTGATTCTGACCCTTCCAACCCCCAACTCCGACTCTCCAATCCTTTCCCCCTTTCTTTCACCACGCAGAGTCCATCCCCACCCGTGACCAGGTCAGCACAGACTACCTGGCAGTGGGTCATGGCAGGTCCCGACGGTCATTCTTCCCACCCAAAATGAACAGCATAGACTACAAGTGGATTGAGAGTAGATGGCACAATCTCCAAGTTTGGTGCTTTATATGGACCCCGGCCTATATAAAAGCGTATAAAAAACATCGGGTTTGTGCCATCTACTCTCAATCCACCGTACCTGGCAAGCCACTCCGGTGAGTTCGCAGCTCCCAGTGCCATGGCACCTTGGCGCTCTTCACGCTGGGTGCTGTCGCCACTTCCACCCGAGGACCGCGCTCCTGGGAAGCGCGAGTTTCACCGGGAAGGTGCGCGCCAGGCACGGACCGGTGATGGTGACCGAAGAACCACCAAGGAGTTTACACTACAAAACCAGGTCGTTCCAATGCTTTTGTGGTCGAACTGAAGGCTGGGTATAGCCGTGTATAGCGTTCGCTTGGGTCCACATCGCCGTTAGTAGGACGGTTCAGGTGGCGATTCAGGTGGCCTGTTGAGGAAGAAGCTGGGATGGAAGCTGGGCTGGGCTGGTTCGCAGGATGTCCTTCTCAGCTGGAATTTGAACAAAAGAACACATATCAGTTAATTGACTTATCCAGGAGTCACAAAGGGGTGGTGTTTGGTCCCCAAGTGAGTGGATAATGGGCACCACTATCCTCCAATAGGCACCCCTTTGTGACTGCTGGATATTATATTGATTTCATCTACTACATGTTCAGATCGTGTATCTTTGGAATCCAAAACTCCATCCTTCCTCCCACATTCTCTTTTCCGAGGCGCGTAAACGGCGGTGAGGACCTGCAACACGGCGTCCTCTTGCGCTTCCAAAGACCAGCGACGCTTCAAATCCACGCCCGGCAGCGTGCGCAGGGAGCGATAGGCTGCCTGGCGGTGGAGCTTGTCTTAAAAGTCGAAAGACTGAAGTCCCTTAAGCACCATGTTTAAACTGGTTGATCTGGTGTTGTAGTGTAAAATCCTTAGTAAAACGGTGGTTAGAAGAAAGTTCCCTTTAACATCAGGTTGTCTTATTGTTTAAACAACAATTCCATTATAGTCTTTGGTACTCAGATCTCAATAGGATGAGGGATTCGATGGGATTCGTATCCTGCTTGGTGACGACTCGAAAGGGTGAAACAAGTGGGACAACCTGCATAGCTTTGGGGGGGGGTAGAGGCTACTAGGAGCAAAGGGCATCGCTACTAGGAACAATGTTCGCTACTAGGGGCTAATGGCATCGCTACTAGGAGCAAGGACGCTACTTTGGGCTCCTGGCTGCCTCCTCCGTGCCAGGAGGATGTGCCCACCGAACCTGAGGATATGGGACAGGAGCCTAGGGATTCTGAGTATGAACAGAGTCACCCGACAAAACAACTTGAGTCAAAACCCACCTGGAGCTATGGTGGATCAAGTCTTGACAGCACGCAAATATCTCTCTGTACATTCCCTCTGTTATTATGTATTAATATGTTCATAATATTTCCATGTTGTATCATGTTTGTCATTCAGGATAAATGCCTCAATCATATTCAACTATTTGTTCCTGAAAGGGAAACTATATGTTAAGCCTTTAGACTTCTCCGGCGTACGGCCTACACACGAAAAGCGTGTTTCATCGCTTTTCACTCCCCGTCCTTGATGTCTTCCATGGAAATCCCATGGGACACCAGTGTCCCTCGTTGCTCCTCGCTCCACACGGATTCCATGGTGGCAATGCAGGAAGCATCCGGAAAGCCGAAGTCATCGCAGTACCTGGAGCTGCAATGAATCCCTTAGTGAAAACATCCAGGGGGTGGTTCCAAGGAGGAATGTCAACGTGTCGTTGATGGTTGCCCATACAAATTCGCACATCTGGATCAAAATCTCGACTGGTGGTTCGCGACTGGTTGGCGACTTTAAGACTATATCTCTCAACACGCTTGAAACAAATCCGATTTGCGTAAACTGGCATGTTCGTGGTTTTCACCATCTCAATGCCGCGCATACTTCTCAGTGCAGCTCGACCGTTCGTACGTTGAACTGATCCATCTCACTCGAACCAAACTGCGCACAGGGGGATGATGGGAATCTGGTGCTTGTGCGCCGTGGCGATCTCCCCAGCACACCACATACCTCAGACCGTGGCGATCTCCCTCGCACTGTGACGGGCGCCCCGCCCCGTGGGCCGCGGCCGGGGGGGTTGTAGCGAAGGCCGCTACTAGGACGGGCGTGAGGGGCTTTGCAATTGGCATGAGCCCCAGCACCCTCATCAGTGATCTTTTCTGCCTTATTATGTCTGTACATTCAGCTACACAGGCTCACTTAGTGCCGTTTCTTTGGTGAAAAAAGACAACACGACCGGTCCCACCACCCTCAATAGCGCTTCGGACCCGACGCCTTCACAGGGGTGGCTCTCAAAACCTGTCCTTGAGGGGCCCGGATTCTGAGAGTAGAATATCAAGTCCAAGGACCGACCGCTTGACTGTATTGGATCAAACAGGACTACCGCTTGACGCCATTGCGGGACCACTGACTGAAGATGGCACATGCCATGACTCATGATGACGACCTCGGCCCGAAGTACAACAACTCTTGCCTGGACCTTCTGAACTGGTGTCATGGTCGGAGATCCATGAGGCAGTTGTGTTTTTGGAGGTGACCCCGCTGTTTGCATTTCTCCCAGGACATCTGGATCGTTGATTTTTTTCTGAAGATTTCTCATCTCTTTTTCTTAAGAGTAGGGATAGCTCATCAGAATGCTTCAGGAGTGAGTGCGATCGCGTATGACCTGCCAGGTCCTCCATCCACGACCACCTCTGAACTCGGAGATCCTCGACGACCCCTCCGCGCGGCGATGTAGAAGTTCGCTGGTCAGCACCACAACCAAGCTTCGGGTGTCCGCCTGGCGTGACCAGATTCTCGGGAGGACGGTCAGCTGCAGCGATGGTCGAAGCAAACGGAGCCGAGAGCAACGAGCGAAACGACTCGAGCGAAACGAGCGAAACGACTCGGATCGGGTGGAGAAGCGGCTCAAAGCCCCGGAACTCGGGAAGTCTAAGAAGTGATGGAGAAGCTGACTACCCGGTGGCCAAAGTGCAATCAACACGGACAGATTCTGGCCATACAATTGCTCACGAGCAGCAAACATTGGCTTCGCACCATGGGATTTTTGTGCTTCCCAGACGCTGAAAGCAGCCCAACTGGTCCCAACCCCGACCCCTCAAAATGGGTCTCCCCCGACCCCTTCACCTGACGGTCCGACCCCTCCAGAGGATTCGGGGCCGGTCTTGGGTCGCGTCTGGGTTTGAAATTCACCCACTCACAATGGATGATCTCGGTCCTAGGAGAGTCATCCACTTCCCTCCCAGGTCCCGACACTTGCCGGTTGGTCGACCTCTATCCACCTGGGTACTGGGCCAGGCCTACCCCCCCAGTAGGGCCTATACCCCCAGGTACCTCCTCAGGAGGTCCTGCGAGGCTCCAGTTCGACCGACCGTTCGAGTGCTGAACACATACTTTCAGCTGCAAAACCCTACGTTCTTACGAGGTCTGGAGACCATCTCGGGTGAGTTCATGGCGGAGAGCTCTGCAGGGTATAGAGATGAAGCCTAGGCAAACACCACCCATGTGACCCCTCGGTCGTTCATCACCCATGGGGCAGATCATACAGTCCGGAGTGTGGTTCCGTCAAAAAAAACAAAGCACGACACGTCATGCATCATACATCAATCGTCATCCCTAGGGATCCAAGCACCCTCTCAGAAGGCACCTGGACCCGACCAGGGCACCCACCCCAGTCCCACCTTCTGAGGTTCGGCACGACTGGATCCCTAGGGCATAGAAACTAACGTGGCTCGTCAGACACCTCGACGTCGGACTGGCTCCTCGCTCCTTTTTCCTCAACGACCTTCGCTCTCATCAGGCATCACGGCATCGGTCCTCCACCCGGTACCGTCTCCAGAATCCGACAGGCGCCAGAGGAAGACCTGTGATACTGTGCCCATATGGGCGGTTTGTTTTCGAAACAGAAGCCAAACGCTCCATGAGACTGTCATATGCCGATCAATTGACCCCGGAACCAGCCACCCCCGGCCTGATCGGTTAGTACTAAGTTAGTACCAGTCCGTCTGTGTTGTGTCTGGGTAGAACAAAGCATCTTATGAGTCCGTGGGTTCTTTCTCATCCCGGGGTTGCAGGTTCCCACAAGGTACAGGTACCTCCGTACTTCGGATGGTCGAACGGAGGTGAGTACGTACGAAACCAGAGAATGGTCGTTCCCGGGGGGTCTTTCAGGACATCCGATTCTGATGGTCCTGGACCCTTAGGGGTTGAACTCGAAAGAATTCTCTGAAAGTGCTCCAGGGAACGATCCTCTCGTTGCCCATCCGAAGACGTCCACAGATTTCGACTCGAACCACGTACTCCGTAGGACCCAGCTGCAGTGCCGAAAGCAGGGTGAAGTTTTGCGCGTTCAGGAGCACTGGGTAGCCAATGTGGATCATTTGAGCAAAGCGGGGTAATGGGCCGGTGAAGGCCTTGTTGCGGTTGCTGGCAAACTCGAAGGTCTTTGCAATCCTTCGAGTTACGAAAAATGAACGCTCTGCCCGGATCCGAGTTTCAACAAAAAAAACATCGGAAAATGGGTACGTCCCATGTTCCAAGGAGGATCCAGGTGGACACAACACACAAGACTCTCTTCCCGTGAAACAATTCCCACGTCCTGTTTGTTTTCGATTGCACTCGGTCACCAACCAATATAAGGCATGTAGGATCATGTGGATATTCCCGTGTATTCCCTGACTTTCCCGGCTATGTTAGATTCTATACAAACCCATAGGGTCCAGGTACCTCCTTTTCGGATGGCTTCGCAGCTGAGTGAGTACTCGTAAAGAAAGGCCGAACTGGAGCTTGCCGGACATCCTGAGGAGGTACCCTTAGGCCCTTAGGGAAAAGTCGAAATTGTCTCAAAAAAGCTTTGATGTCGAAGTCATGGAATCCCATCATCTGTCTCAGGATCATTCTCTTGCAAAGCGGTCAGTTGCAGGAGTACCACTTCAGCAGCGCTGCGGCCTGGTTCCCGAATGGCTGTCCTCCAAAAAGATGCCTGTCCAGCGTCCAAAAGGCACCGCGGCGTCCAAGAGGCGTTCAAGGCCAGAAGCATCAGAAGCCACCAAGCCAGTCGAATCCAACGGACAGCGAGGAGCAGCTGTCCATTCCGTTCCATGGCATGCAGCATGCGTTGATGTCGTTTTTCGCAGGCTGCGTTCGCTTCAGGGGGAAACCATACGAACCATAGGCGGGTGTTGGATGTGGTTGGCGTGAACAGTGGTGCAAGATTCTCCAATTCATGCTGGCTGGCTGCTGGTCGCGTCCGAGAAGGGACCTCAATTTTAAGTCTCTGAAGGGTATGGTCAAGATAATTTTCCCTAGGCCTCCAAGTACTTTCTGAGAAGGTGTTTGGGGTGGGCTTGGAGTGTCCAAATACCTTCTGAGGAGGTACGAACACGGAGGTGTAGGGTTTAGGAGTTAATTGCAAACACTGTGACACGTTAAACATTGATGACTCCCTCAACTAAACCCGGAATAGATGGCGTCTCTCTATCAGGCCACCGACAGGTTTTGCGTATGGAACTTGCAAGTCTTCTCCGTTGGCTCCACGTCGGGGTCAGGCTGTCGGGGTGACCAGAACGAGAAACCTGAGCAGCCCATGGCCATTATATATACCCAGCAGTCACAAGACGGGGTGCGATCCTTGGAGGTTAAGGGTGCCCAGAACATCCACTCACTGGATGGAACTAAACACCACCCCGACATGTGACTCCTGGTATATAGATTCTTGCTGTATAACTTGTAATTGCATGTAATTACTTGTCGTATCTTGTCGTACTTATTATGTATAGATGTGTTCATTTACAGTAGATTCCTTCACTGGCCACGCGGCAAACAAAGAGCCGGGGAGGCAGTCCACCCTGCACTTCGTGCATGTCATACTGGCTGAACACACCCTGCTTCCCTCGACCAGCAGGAAAAACGTATCCACTCCCAAGGTCTTCCAAGGCCCAAGGCCGAACTGCCCCGTCATCCGGGCCCCTCTGCCCGGGCCGAACACATCGTGCCCCGTCTGCGCAACACATCGGGGTTCGGTGGACCAGGTTGGTGCCCCCGTTGCCAGTGGACGTCCGAACCCTGCCATGGCCCACGGATTGGGAGGACAGAAAGGCGAAGGAAGAGTGGTTCCACTTGGCCAAATTGGTCGAAACGTCCATGTGAATGAAAGATACCTGACAGTCTTCAATCAATTATCACAGCTTTTTGGGTTAGCAGTCATGCTGCATGCTTGAGTACTTTGGAGAGTCGCAGAATTGCTGGTGGCCTTTGAAGACCATGCTCGTGGCCAAGGACCGTCCTGTCTTGCATCTGTTCTCCATGGTCCACGACTTCTTGGGCTCCCACAGGTCTGATCACCTGCTTTTCCCTAGCCAAAAACATCCAAAAACCGTTTTTGTTCCATGTGAAGCACCGCGGTCTTTTTCCATGATTCCACCGCCTGGGCCACGGGCTCCCTCACAGTGGGTCGTATGTCGTATAGTCGGTGTTCGGCTCGCTCCCGCCCCAAACCAACCGGTTTTGGGACCTCTGGGGCCGGTAGTAAGAATGCTCCGTTCGCAGCGATGCCAGCCCCGGAAATGTCGCGTTAAGGCCAGCAGCCCCGTTCGTAGCGAACCTTGTTACTAGCCCTAAGGGTCCAGGAGCATCCTGAGGATGTCCTTTGACCCCCGTTCGACCATTCTCTGGAAGTACTTTCACCTTCAAGACCATCCTCAGGAGGTACCTGGACCATGGGTAGCCCTAGGCCTCCAGTCGTACCGAACCGCATCGGTTCGGTGGGACGACCGGGGCCCGGGTGCCAGGGTCGGGTCCAGTCATACCTTCTCAGGTTCGGTACGACGGTAGACCCAAAACCACGCCCTCCGTCTCGAACGAGCTCGGTGTTTTTCTTCGGTGAAAAGCTCAGTCGGGGTCCGACCTCGGTTGGGTTCGTTTGAGATCCGAAAGGATTGGCTTAAACATTTCGGTCCTTCGAACGAGAGACGACAGGAAAACCTTCTGCAACCACTCAAACCACGGGAATATGCAAAACATCATGTGTCGTGTCTGTTACGAAATCGAGGTCCAAGCCCATTTTTGGGCTTTTTGGAAACATGTGTATGCGAATTGAGACAATGCCAGTGCGCCCCACACTCCTGCAAACGCTGCTGTACCAAGAGGACGTTCATGAGCAGGACGTGGTGAGCAAAGAAGAACCCAGGAGCCAACCATGGCAGAAAAGCAACAAACGACCATCAGCTCCACCTTCAGGTTTTCTAAAATCTCACGAAAAGTGGAAGTGCCTCGTTGGCAATACCGGCACGTAAGGAATATACACACATCCCCAAACAACGGAAGACAAAAGAGCCAAAGCACCAAGCCTTCAATGAAGAGAGTGATGGCAAAACTAATGTTGCCTCCTGCTACATGGGACACGAGCAAATCCAGGAAGGTCCAAAGCAGGGGAACTGACACTGAGAGGCTCCACCCTCTTGTGAATATATTTTCCTGCAATCCTGCAACCACTGTCTGCAGAACGGCTGATCGTACATAGTCTTCAAAGGCCTCTTGACTGCCAAACCAGATCGACACACATTCCTTAACGATTTGCCTGTCACACAACATGGGGATTCCTCCTTGCACATGCCCAAGATCACAGCATGAACATCTGGTGTTGTCAAAGCTGATATTCTGTAACTTTGCCTTCAACTCTTGTACTGAACGGAAATACGCACGGAAGGCTGTAACAATGAAGTATCCAGCAAGGAATAAGAAGAGAAACGAGCCCGATATGGGAATGAGAACAATGTAAAC